TTCGCTTTTCTGTTGGAGCCGTATTGATCAGGTAATTTGGTCAGTCTTTAATTTTTTATTTAACAGAAATGGTGGACCGATCTGTGGTTAAAAGAAGGCTTCGCTTCGTTTATGGAATATGTATTTGTTGGTGCAAATTATCCGGATTTTAAAATATGGCTACATTTTGTTAATGATGAACTCGCATCAGGTTTTGACTTAGATGCTTTACGAAGTTCTCATCCTATCGAGGTTTGTCCCTTTGACCATTTTATTTACTTTTTTTCATGTTTTGTCTTTCATGTTTAGGAGAAATAAAAGAATCTAGATGTATTCCAAGGCAAAATAGCAACTCAGTTGCATCTCAAGGCAACAATAAATCGTTTTGATGTTCGCTTTTATGTATTTGTATGCATTATTAAATATTGGAAATTTGGTAAAACAACAAGTGGAATCCAACAGACAATTATTTTTCCAAAAAAAAAAAAGCTGTATAAATGAGGAGACAGTTGTAAAGTTCTTGCAATTCTATAGAGAATGTGTTTGTCAAACAGACAAATACTTTATGGTAATCTATAAAAATACACTTAGCTTTTCAGATTGAAATAGATAATCCTAATGAATTGGATGAAATCTATGATAACATAACGTATGCGAAGTCAAATTCAATCAATCGAATGTTGTGCAATTATTTAGGTGAGGAGACATTTCAAAAAGCATTGCGGATATATCTGAAGAGGTTCCAGTACAACAATGCAGTTACTGCTGATTTGTGGAAAGCGCTAAGTGAAGCTTCCGGTCAGGTAAACTCCATGATTTTCTTTTTGTGTTTATTTCCTTTTTATTCTTGATCCTAATCAAATAAACAACTGCCTTTTTTGATATAGAGAGTCTGAATAAACGAATATAGCATATCATAAAATAAACGAAGTGAAATTTTCTATTTTTACCACATCTATCGGATTTTTATTTCAGGTGACCTTGTCTTAATAGGCTTGTGAATTTTGAGCAGCAAATTTCGAGTATATGAAATCTTTATTAGAACATTCTTAGTGTTCTAAAATTCAGGACATCGAAACACTGATGTCAACATGGACAAAACAGATGGGGTATCCTCTTGTTAGTGTTAGTCAAAAAATTGATGGAAGGAACAGAATCCTAAGGATGAATCAAAAAAGATTTCTCGCTGATGGTACCACCGATGAGAAGAATTCGTTATGGCAGGTTGGTCTAATTGTTTTTTAATACTTTCATCTTATACCATTTTGTTATTTGCATACTATCTAGTATTTAGTTTATGCATGTAAACTACTTTCGTTGATGGATTAATGTCATTAATCCCATTCATTACTTCCATGATATTCATTACTTCCATCAATCAAAACATAAAAATACGAGAAATTAAAGATGTGTTTCCAGAAATAATCAAAGATATATTTCTAAAAAAACAATTATAAATAACTGAATCTTCATATATTTGCAAGAGTGATCTATGATAAAATTCCAAGACATTGTGAAAACCACTGTATCTACAGATTCCAATCACGATTTCCGTATCATCTGAGCCAGAAAGCATAAAAGAAAGAGTTCTGCTGAAAGGATTTCAGCAAGATGTTACGGTTAATGATGTAGATCCTAAGGACTGGATAAAGGTGCGGTTCATGTAAAAATTAGATTAAAAAGGTTTCAACATCTTTTTTTCATTCAGTATTGGTATGTTTTGAAATATTCACTCATCAGTGTCGTGTAGAACTTTTTAAGATTGCCGGACTACTTTTCGAAGTTGGAGTAGCATGAGCAGATAGGTTGAATTAATGTGTGTTAATGAAAGTCTCTTTTATTATGATGTTTTGTTAAAGAAAATATGTTATAGTTGAATGTCGGGACTACAGGTTTTTATCGTGTTTTGTATTCACATGATATGCTACATGCGCTTTTACCTGATTTTGCAACCAAAAAGATTCCTGTACTTGACCGATTTGGTATTGCAAATGATATGTTTGCACTGGTATTTTTTTTTTTTCTTGCCTGGTAAAGTTGTCTTTCTGTGTATGTTTAATCTTACATCAGTTCGCTTAACTTTTAAAAAAAAGAGATCATTTGTAGTGTAGGGATCAAAAGGAAGAGTTTTCAGGTTAAATCTGGGCGAGAATCAGCAAAACAATTTTTATCACTGCTTAAATCATCCTCAAATGAAGATGACTACACAGTGTGGAGTTCTCTTGATTCAGGTAAGATTTCTCTGGAAACCGATTCATTTCGTACTATTTTGTTGTAGAAATGATGTTTTTTAAGGTTATAGAATTATTTTTTAATCTAAAATTAATCTTGCTAATGAACTGTTCAATTTCTTTTCCAAACTTGTTTCATTCATTTCCTGCGAATTTGTAACTGTAAAAAGAAGTTGCAGGTATTTCTGAGCTGTCGAATGTATTGTCCCATTATGATCCCGTTATCCGTTCGAAATTTAATAAATTTATTATTAAAATTTTGACACCAGTGGCAGATCGACTTGGCTGGGAAGCTAAACCGAATGAAGGTGCGTTGAAAAAATTTCCATTTTTCAACAAAAAAAAGCAGAAGTGTTTTGGCATTCAAAAGGGATTGCATTTTTATTAAGAGAATTATTCTTGCATATTAATTTTGCTTCTGGTCAAAAAAAAAAACGTCGAATTTCCTAGATCTCATGATACCTCTTCAGATTCTCAAATAGCTTTACTGCGAGCGCTAATTCTTGGTCGACTGGGTCGTTGTGATCATGAAGAAACTATTAAAACAGCTAGAGAGAAGTTTTTGGAACATATTAGAAATAAAACTGAACTTCATCCAGACTTACGACTTACGGTACATTTATAAACAAGATTTTTCAAACAGTAAAATTAACACTCATTTTTTAGAACAGAAATTTTCAATAATTCGACGTCAAATATTTAATTTTTTGCAGATATACGGGATGATGGGAAGGCATTACGGAAAAGAGGGATTTCAACAATTAAAAGAAGTTAGCTTTTGCTTTTAAATTGAGGAAGATTTTTCGCTTGTGATATTTGATATTATGCTTTTGTAATCCATTAATGGTGTCTGAATTTCAAAAATGGGAAGCGATAATTTGAAGTGCAAACCTCATTTCCCATACTAACACCAAAGTTTTTGTATAGGATATACATTACTAATAAAAAAGAATCATTATAACGCATTTACATCTGAATAGTGTAGTTCGTAGTGATTCACTGTTTCAGTACAGAACGATAACTGAACGCCTAATTGATATTATATGCCACTAAGTTTTGAAATACAACATTGTCTTGATTTTCTTGACGGATCTGTTATGATAGTCTTGCAGATTTACGAAACTGCAGGTTTCGGTGAAATAGAACGAAATTGCATTGTAGCAATGCCACAAACATCTGATACGGACTTGTTGAAGGAAGTTTTCGAATACTGCATTCAAAATGTAATGCTTCTCAATCATTCTGAATTATCAGTCATCTTGATTTATTGTAATTATGACTTCCACAAAGTTAAGTGCTATCAGTAGTATTCTTTGAAATAGAGCGAAAACTCTGAAGTTTGGAGTTTTTATGAAACTTTTTTTTTGCTTAGCTAGTGGCTTTGATATTTTATATCCCTTTATCACAAAGATGTTACTTTAAAGTTTGTCGTCTGCAAATAATATTTCAGGGCAAGATTCGTTCGCAGGACATCATTTATCTTTTCTATGGTGCGTGTGTGAATAAATCCGGACAAGATTTTGCGTGGAAATATTTCAAGGTGAATACCTCTGATTTTAAAAACGTTACAATTCTTGATACCTTTTAAGACTTAGATCATTTCAAAAGTTTTTTGATCAGATTTAGAGAAAAATAATGGTAATCATTGCGAATATTACACTTTTTGATATATTTCAGGACTCTACCAAATTGCTGCTTCAAAAATTTGGTGGCGCAAACAGTTCGCTTTTTCAGCATTGTTTCAGAACTAGTGCTGATTGTCACTGCTCCAGCGTAATGGTCAAAGAAGTTGAGGTAGCTAATCTTTAATTACTCAAAACGATATATAATTCTATAGTAGAATTGGTAGTTTAGAATTCCGTAAAAACTGCTTGCATTTTACGTGTGTAATTTACTATTGTTCTTTGAAACGCCAACTTATTGGAATTCGATTGTGCCTAACCATGAGCTGAAATGAGTTTAGTTCCTTTTTCTAATTCAGGACTTTGTTTGCTCGTATTTGGGAGCAGATGAAGCTCGAACTATTAATCGTACCACGAAACAGATCATCGAATCAGTACATTTGAATGAGCAGCTTTTGAAGCGAAACGCGGATGTCATCAGTGAATATCTTGCTGCCGCCGATTTCTAGTTCATCCGCACTCGGAGATCGAACTCCGGTTAATTTAAATTCTTTTTTCGAGTTGATTGACACTGCTATTTTCGGAATTTTAAATTTTAAATTTGGAAGAAGAATTTATAAAAGTGACTCTAGGATGAAGCAGCTTGCACAAAGAATGCAGTGAATTTCAACTACATTTTTCCATTTCTTTGGAATATTCCTCAACTTTTTTTGTTTTTTTCATTTTTGGTGTACTCTGTTGAGCAAAATTTCTATATTTTTTAAGTTATATATTCGTTTAAAAATCTGCTTGGTTTTTGTGACTTCCAATTAGGAAACACTGATCACTTCCCGTCTCAAATTTATATCATCATATTTGTTAACTTTTTCAGATTTTTGAAGATTTTATTGAAATAAGCCTATCCAAAAGCTTTTAAAGAATCGTTGTTGAGTTGAATTTCTCGTTTTATTTGCTAATTAACATTTTTTCATGCTTTGTTTAATGAACTTTGGTGTTTATTTCAATTTGTAACTTCCTGGGTTTTGTTATAGAGTTTTTTGGGCTTTGTTATTCGAACATAAAGAGATTTATCGAATACTCGCTTAGCTATATAACAAACGAACAAGGAAATGATATACATTTGACAACTTATTTACAAAAAATGATCACATTTGATCATCATGCCTTATTAATAGCTGAGGAATGTTCTGGTTGTTGACATATATTCTGGCGGTAATGGTGTTATCGACTGTGATGCTGTATTACTGCCTGGTCGCGGTGGATGTTCGAAGACATTTTGAAAAACCGGAATCGTGGGATATGAAGTTGTTTGACTGCCGGGATGTTTTGCCATATTCTGGAACGAAAACTATTTGTAAGAGCTACAAAAAAAATTTTTTTTGCTTCCTTGTAATTTGCATAGCGAAATGATCAAATTAACTAAATGTGGAGTGCTTGCTAAAATTGTATTAGGCAGTCTAGTAGTAGCTTTTTCTATCTTACAATTTTGGATTAAAGCTACAAATTGTAAAATGTAGTGCAAAATGTAAAGTGCTACCTCCGGTTTCTTCATACCCATAAATGATCGCCATGATAATGGACTTGAGTGTTTGAGTTTTGCTTCGTTTACATAACTGCGCCCGCTTTTCGTCAAAAATATGTAACTCATTACCATAACACCAGCCAATAAGCCAAACATCAGAAACATGCATGCTAATCCGGCAAGATAGAACGAATAACCATATTCCTTCTGAAATGAAGTTTTGTCTGAATTTTTTCCAATTTTTTGCTCATCATGCTAGATGTTTCTTTACTAGCTTAGTTATGGGTGAGAAGTTTCAACTAAATGTTGTCGAAACGAGTGAATATCTAGATCTTGAAGTCAATAGAATCATTTTGATACATAGTTTTTCTAAATTATGGGAGTATTAGCTAATCATAGGTTTTCTCTTTAGTTGCAAAATGAAGCACAGTTAGAAATTTCGACGATTTATGTGAATAAAGGCAATAATCATATTTAATACTAAGATATTAATTTAATTACATCTCTGAAAATTAGATGATTACCTTGAATGTATTTTTGATACCAATCAGGAAACGAGATTCCAACATTTCAGCGTTAATCATAAAAACAGCCAATCCCACTGATGAGAACAGGACTGAAGATAATGGTTTGTTAATTAACTACTAATTAATTTGTTGCAGTTAGTTCAACGCTTAATACAAGAAATCAATAGATGCTGAATATTTTGAGATCCAATCTGTAAAATGGATGTTTTTTGATTTCCATTGCAACAAATACTGTCCATAATTTTAACACAATCCATCTTTTAAGTGGAAAAGAACAGTTATTAACTTACAAGATAAAAAGCTAAACAGGATGAAAATGATTGTAAGCAATCGAACTTTGCTGGCTCGATATACGCCAAGTACGAGAAATCCTGCAGCAATGAGTCCAAATGCTAAGGCAAACAATAGTAAAACCAGAACTGCATAATGCCAACCTGAAAACATACGTAAATTTTGAAAAGCTCTTTGTAAATTGTCCAAAAATTGGTATTAATCAGAATGTAGAAGTCAAATACAAGTACAAAATTGAAGATAAGAGAAGGTTTTTTGATTGAAATGTTTTAAAAATTAAATTTACCGAAGAAATATGGTGTCTTGATGAGTTTTTTACGGCAATCACCGATTAAAAGGAATCGACAAACATCAACTTTTTCATAATAATTAATCAAATTATCACTAAAAATGTACCAACAAGGTACACCACCGGGGCAATACATCCACAAACCGCTTTGCATATATCGATGAGCGTCTGTATCTTCTGCTACCTTAAATTTTTCGCATTTTAAATTCGCCACTTATCATGCATTTCCAAAAAGAGCTAAAAATTGAAAATATTTGTGATAAGAATAATTTGAAAAAAAAATTTTGAAATTACCTGCCATGCTGGAGTCAATAAAGCAATAAACATAAACAGATTGCCAATACATAAGGGGACAAAGGCCATAGCCTGAACTTTCAGCAATGGATTCGACCAATCCAACATCGTTTTTGAAGAAGCAAAATTTTTCAGGTTTTTTTTTTCACTATTTTTTAGATGTTATTGATAATATTTTGTTGTTCTGTAGGATCATTTTATGATAATGCTAAATCCTAAAGAAATGAAAACATCAGAAAATTGAAAGTGAGGCATTATTTATGCATTTTAGGATTAAATTGCAGTATAGGACAGGATATCAAGAAGGGGTCATTCAAATTTCTGATTTTATTTAAAAAGAACTTCCAGAATAAACATCTACTGAAATGAGTAAGTGGAACTTCTTTATAAATAAAATGAATTTAATAGTTGCTGAAATCTAAATAAAGCAATTCATAGATGATGGAAAGGAAATTACTCTAATTGTTATAAAAGCTATCAATGAGGTGTGGTAATGAAAAGAGTAAAAAGATCAGTGAGGATAAGCTCTCAACAAGTAAAGTAAACCTGTTCAAACAAGGAAAAATGTAATAGTGAATTTTTAACAGTAAAAAATTTTAATAATATCTAAATTTAAACTAACAAGAAAAAAGTTTTTCACACTTAAAATACTTATGGTATTTAAAGAATATTTCAAAAATTTCCTTCATTAATGTTGAGAAAAATTAATTAGATTAAAAGATGATCTAATGTATTAACTATTGATTACCTTGATGTAAACTAATCACATTTTCATTACATTACAATGATATCAATTTCTTCCTCATTCTTCATCTTTGACGATAGCCGAAGGATGATTTCATTCATTTCAAAATGGAATATGTTATCCATAATTGATAGATAATCAAGGTTAAATAATACATTACATCCGTTGATCAATAAATGCCGCTATTGCAACGCTGATTCCTTTCCGGATATTTCTAATGAATCAGTGTGGATGGGAATAGATTGAAATGGATTTTAAGTTTATATAGAATAATTTTAAAGTTTGCTTCTATTGAAAAATGTGGAGAAAAAAACATAGTTGAAGTTCTTTAGTTTATTAAATATGATAATAAAATCCTAACTTAGAGAAATTTTATTGAATTTTGGCAAAATTAAAACGAAAATTCAATAAAAACTGATGTTGAAAAATTGTAAATCAAAAAATCAAATTATTGTTTCGAACTAGTGAATCTCGATTTCCAAAAAAAAGTAGCTCAAAAACAGTTCAATGCTATTCATTCTTAACAACTTTCGAAAATTATTTATAATTTCTTGCAATGATTAATGAAACATAAAACTTGAAAGAGCAAAGCATTCTGCTGATTTTTCTTTTCCTGAACAAGTAATAGTAGTAATCGTCTGCGATGTCCTTTTTTTAGACGGATGGAACAGTTAACTTTCAAAAACTAGGGATTTGCTAACCAAAAATTTCAAGAAATAGATCAGAGTTGAACTCTACTGAACAACGAATTAGGAAGGTAAAAGTTTATGTTGTTTCCAATTTAAATGTGATACGAGGGAAATATGAAAGAGTTTTAAGTGTAAACAAAAAAAAAAAAACTAGATTCTTCAATAATGGAAAAAGGAAAAATGCAATAAAAGAAATCAAAAATTTTAGTCAAATGATGAAAAGACAGATATCTCCTTGGCAACAGACATTTAAAAAAAAAAATAAATGTTAGCCTTGGCCTAGCGAATTATTGGACAGACACGAAATGAAAGAAACATAAACATATGATATGCCAGACAGGTTAGTAGAAAATGAAATTCATTTCGGTGGGTGTGTGTGTGTCTGTGTTATGTATGTGTGACAAAAACAATGTCATGCATTCTGAAGGTATTGACAGGTTCAATTGCTTAACTTCATTTCAGAAATAGTCAAAGGAACAAAGATTACGCCATGCTGTGAGCCACAGTAATGCAATAATGAATAAAAATATCAATAATATTAGGGTAACTAATTTGTTTATCAAATTTAAAACTAAGTTCACTTCCTCTAACAGTTAAAACATTAAGAAAAAAAAAAACTTAAAGTGAGAAATGAATAACGATTAAGGTTTTTGATTGAAAAATAAATTTTCAACATGTTTTTAGAAGGTATAATTTAGGATTTACGTTTGTGATTGAAGCTACAGAACTGACTAATTAAGCTATGCTAACTATAACCAAAAAAAAAAAAAAAAAAGAATTGACAGTTATGTGGGCTATTAATTTATTCAGAAATTATTTGAAAATTCATTCCATGTAGTAAATTATTCAAGGTAAATTTTTAGATAGTCTACTACAACTATCAAATTACAATCATATTCTTTACTTGGTGAATATTGGTAGAAGAATAAGAGAAGCAAAAATAGTTTCTGGGACATTAAGTTAGGAAAATTAACTGAAGTGAGAGAAGAAAGAAAGTGATGAGATTAATAAGTACTCAAAGCAAAGCAGCAAACAAAAAAAAAAGATTGTTACTTCAAAAATTCAAACTTAGAAATTTCAAAAACAAAAATCCGAAAGACAAAACATCAATAGTTCAATATTCTGTTTCAAAAAAAAGAACTGAGAAATTCATCAAGAAGAAGAAGTTATGATAGAAATCAACTCAGAATGACCAGTGACTGTCAAAATGACGACATTTGCTGCGAATGGTGTTAAAATGCGCGATCTAAAATACATGGATACAGACAAACAGAGAGATATTTCATTCTGAAATGCTACTTTCAATTGGTTGACAACATATAGTGTCATCCATTTGAGGAAGGAAATTTCATCCACAAAATTTGTTTGGTAGATTGATGCAATCGAGTGATCTCTCGTTCCTAGTTATATTTCAACCTCTATTAAAAATTTTCACAGCTTTTATTTACATTGAATAAAATAAAATCAATACCAATTTCCATCCACTTTTTTCAATTTAAATTTATTTCATTCCTATAAATTTAACAGATTCAAGATGATTTTGAAACAGCTCGATAGCTATAAAATATGATTGAAACAGAGTTTGAATACAACTTGTCCTACAATTTTCAAAAAAGTTTTTATATTAAATCTGAACGAGTTTAATAATTTATTAAGTATCGATTACTGAATTACAGGTCGATTCATATATTAAAGATAATTACTTCAGAAGCCAATATAAAATACATTTTTATCAGAACAAAACCAAACAGTTAGCATACAAAATTCACTACAAAATTCATATGGCAGTTATTTTGTCGTTATTCCTCGATATTTTTTAGGAAGTTCAGGTAGGGCACGCATTGCAAAAAAATCTTCTTGAGGATGACGATGTTGACAAATCTAAAATTTTAATCTCGCATTGTGAATTTGTTGAGAAATTCAAAAATAAACAAATAATAGACACCGAATGGTGAAAATAATACTGAAAAAAAAAAAAATAATAATGAATTTTTGTCAAACAGAACGTTAAAAGTAAATAATAGAAATATAAAAAATAATAGTAAATACAAGTGATTTATTGACCTGATTTGATGAGAAAGTATTTCGACTTGTCAACCGTATTGGAATGTTATTTTCGGCAGATCGGTAAAGCATTATTGTATAGGCTAATGAAAACAGAAAAGATAATACTAGTAAGACTGAATCGATAAGATGCAAAAAATATGAATAACCAACGTGTTTCTGAAATCATAATTATATTTTAAATATTCCATTATCATCGATAGCTTTCCAATATCTGTCACAAATCAATCATACTTACCTCATAAATGCCACTAACGCTAACATGATAGAACCTATATTCGAGCATGTGAGCAAATATTTGAAATGTTACATTACAGCCAATATTGATTAATGCTGAAATAGAATGATAAAGGAATCGATTGATTAATTTAAGCAAACAAATAAATAAATTAAAATACAAACCAGAAAGGCCAATTGTAATTGTAAACAAAAATTGAGCATTTTTGCTAACATCAGTTGATTGTGAATAACAAAAGCAAATCATTGCGAAAAGAGCCAAAAATTGGCCAAATAATAATATGTACAACAAAGTATGTTGCCAATCTGAAAGTTTCTTATCATTAAGCAGCAAATAAACAAATGAATGAGTTAGAGTTAACTTAATAAATTATCAAAATCATTTGATAGAGTATTACAATGGTAAATACGAGGATAGAGAGACATATGAAGAACAGAGAAGTGAAAATTATGAAGTAACCATAGAATGCTGGTGTCCGAATACTGACCACTTGTGGATTTGTGTAAAAATCAATATCAGTTTTGGTGAATGTATAAGTACAGGAGAGCATTCCAGATGGTCTATGAAATGAGTAAATTATATAATTTAACAAAGAGGCGCATCTAAAGTGACCTAAGAATTTCCGAGAATCAAAATTTGATATTAAGTAGTATTGCTAGAATTTTGATAAGCTATTGAATTTCTTCTTTTTTCTTCTGATTAAATGACAATTAATTCATATTAAAAATACATAATTCAAAATTAAATTAATTTTGAACAGAGTTTAAAAGAAATTAATCAATAATTTACCTCGTTTGACAATTCATCCATAACCCGCTCTGTATCCATTGTTGCAGTTCTCGAACATAAACTACCTAAGTGGAAGAACTGTATTAATTAATACAAAACACCTTTGAAAATAAACTTCTGTCATTTCTCCTTTTCCATAATTGATTCTTCATTGATCATCCATATTAATCCATTCGTTTTTAGAGAGAAATACTCTTGAATAATTCTTCAATTTCAATTTCTCGTGTTACAAGAAAATATTTCACCTGCCATGCTGGTGTTGCTAATGCTACAAAATTGATAATCGTTCCGATTAATGTAATGATAAATGAAGGAATTTGTAGCGCTCCTCGTGCAGATACCATTAAGAAAGTTATATTTTTAATTTTGCAGCATTAGTAATAAAGAAACAGTATTTATTGTTTTTTGTAGATACTGTAGCTACAAATAGTAATACAGGGAGGTTTTAATTTCGACATTTGTGAAAAAACGCAATTTGATTATCAATATTTAATGGAAATTGATTAGACCGTAATTATATTAAATGTTTTCGTAATAACCTGAAAATTTTGGTAAAATCTGAAGATGATACTGTCATCCTATTGAATGAAAATGAACGACGTTCATTAAAATATTACAAAAAGTTTTTTCAAAGCAAACAAGATTAGAATTAAACGATCCGAAATAAGATTTGAAGGAACAGATAGATTTCGATGTGATTCATTGTCAAATATAATAAGCACAATCATTTTTCTAAACAAAAAAAAAAGGAATTAAAATTAGCGTCGTGTAGAAAGCCATTGGAAGAAATGAATCGATGATTTTTTATGAATGTAGAGATTAAGAAACTTCAAATTCTCAAATGATAGCACATAAATGTAAATTTAAGAGCTGTCCCATTGTTGAACAAGTTTCTGCGCGGTACAATCATCTAATGGACCTGCTCTTATGCATGGGACAGACATGCACTAAATCGTTCGAAAAATTTTTCAAACCTTTATGTATACAGTGAAAATCGATTGTCAACCCATCTTCCCACCATTTCCTGCTGCTCCGCAAATGGTTGTCAAGGACAAAGTTGCAGGTGAGTTCCACTGCTATTTATTGCCAACATATAGCTGCTGTTATTGTTGTCAATTTTGAAGACTTCATCGATTAAGAATTTTAACGGGCAGAAATATTTCTTAGCTTAGAGATCAGCATATTTATTTACTCCTAGTGTTTTAGCTAAAAGCGCAAATGGATATGATGATTGATTTAAAGTTTATTCGATTTAAAAACTTTATTGTTTTGAGGACCAGTTTTGAGTTATGCAAAAACAAAATTGATTAAAAAAGCTTCAACATTTAGCACAAAAGTGATAAAAGATCAGTAAAGGATATCTGGTTACTAATTATCATTGATACGTTTACATCAAATTTAGCTGTGAAACTTGAAAAAGCTAATGTTACATATGGAATAAATCTACTGGAAAAAGCAAAAATAACAGATGAAACATCAATGACAATCAATCTCTAGCAATGTGCTGTCGTATATCTCAAATGTTTGTTGTTATATTGGTAAGGCTAAAGTTCAGTAGATGATACCACTTAAGAAGGAAGTATTAGCAAAAGGAATCGAGCATATCAGTAAGAGATAAATATGCTTTTTATTCATTCGATCAAGAAAGATGAAAAGATGGTTTTACAAATTTTTTACAAATATGACATAATTTCTATTACTTTTTCTTTGTTATGAATGTTAAAAACAAATCGTCGTATAAAGTAACAATAACTAATAATTTTACAAATTAAAATAAGAAATATTTTAGATGTAATAGCTAAAAATGCAGCCTATATGTAATGAGGTATTTCATACGGTATGGTTGAACAACTAAAAGAATTGAAATTTCTTTTAAAAAAATCCAACTGCAATTGAAATGTATTAATGTTAACATCCACTATATATAATGTTTACAAAAAGAAGTTATCATGCAACAAAAACATTAATGCATTCTTTTCATTTCAGCTTAAATAAATAAGGAAAGTATTTCTTTTCATGAATCCATAAAATGTGGCTACTTAATTTTAATATTTCTAAGTTAACGGCTTATTTCTAAAAATTTTAGCAGAAGTTTTTTATAGGCTTTTAATACAATCATGCATATATATATATATATATATATATATAATTGAAATGATACAATCAGTGAATATTTATGGATTAAAAAAAATATAGCCATTTCAAATAGAAATAGCTAAATATTAAAGCCCTGGAAACACATAACTGAACTTTCTGAATAAGTTCTGAGAAATTAATGTTTAATAATTGTCTCAGAAATGTTTCAGTTACTGCAAGCTTTCCACAACAACAAAAAACAAAGCAAAACTTTTCTGATCAATCAATATTGGTAGGTTAACTTAAATATTCTACCATAATAGCTTACCAAACAATCAAATATAAAAGAATGTATATCAGTTTCTCCAACTTTAAAGTTGTCTTTTTGAATTTTTTCAGGAAATTTTCTTTATATTTCTTTACATTCATTCTAATGTTTTATGTCCTATAAAATTTCTCAGATCTTACCAAATTTTTTTAGCTTCAAAATCTAAAATATTATCTTTGATAATATATAAGAGAATCAATGATATTTAATTTTATGACTAGAATTTCATGGGATATTGTTTTCATAAAAAATTCAACAGAAAAATTATGGATGCTTTTTCTCTTAATCAACTTTTTTCAGTTGACATAAATGATTCATGTTTATGTTAACAAAGTGTAAACTTTCATATAATGATAAACTGAATATAAACTTATTGAATCTATTATTTTAGATTCACTTCGTTTTTAGTTATTTTATAGTCTTCAATGTGCTTTGGTATGTATTAAACATTTTATCACTTTTCTCTTATTACTTATATACTTCTGTTCCCTCTTTCTCCCTTTCTCTCTCTCTCTTTATTCTAGCTCTTAAAATTATTTTTACATTGAATCTAACAAAAATATAAAAGAAATAAACTGCTTTCGTCAGCTGTTCATAAATTCAGTGAAATAGTGCAATGAAATGTTACAATGATTTCTTTTTTTTTTTTTTCTGCTCAAATAAGGTTAAATAAAGTTAAAATTTTCTTCACTATGTTTTAAAAGAAACAAAATTTCAAAATTTGATAAAATTTTAATAATTCTTCACTTTGAAAATTTCCTTCAATTAAAAGATATGGAAAATTTTTCTTTAAATATGAGTATGCAGAGAAATAAACAGAAAATAAAATTAAGCATTCTTTTATAAATCCATCTTTGAATGAATTCCGGCTTGCTTCAAAATAAACAGACCTGTTTCCGGAAGCATTCAGAAAACCAATCATCTTCCTGTCATTCATCCCACTTAACGATGAAATCAAAAGCATACGAAATCTTTTTTCTTTTTGGCTATGTTAACTTTCGTCACATTCCAATTTGTTACTCAACAAAGCCAACAATAAACAACAGTAATGACTGCTATCTTTAATTCATAATTCCGAACTTGTAAGTGAGTTTTTGCTCTTTGTGGTTTAATTGTTTAAATTTTAAATTAAATTAAATCTAATTAAAGTAGATGTTTGAATATTCATAAAATTAAAGCAATGCAAAGCGATGATACAAGGCTTAGCAATTGCTTGAATTATATGTTCCAACATTCTTTTTTTAATTTTTTAAGAAAAAACTAACTTTCCAAAGATTTAAAAATTTCCTCATTACTAAATTTTAATGCTTATAAAATATTAAACTTAATGCCTAAAATTTTTAATAAATAACGATATTAATAAGAAATGAAAAATTAATCAATACTTCAATCTTTTTTTTTGGAAATGATTTAGAAATTAAAACGCACTGAAAATAAAAATAAATCTGAATGACATACTTCGATTCCATCGAATTCTCTGAGTATGCATGCAATCTAAAGTTCAGCTTTTTTTTTTGAAGAGTTTTCGGAAATTTATTAAAAAAAATTTTTTTAAGAAAAACTTAAAAAATTGGGAAAGAGTTAGAGAAAGATTGCAATGATCAAATTTTCTTATTATTTCCTGTTAAAAAAAAAAATGAATGAATAGAATACTTGAAACAGACCAAATAAAAGATACATCACATATACATCTTTAGCAAATTTCCCTAAATATTTGCCAGCAAACTTGCTGTATTTTCATTTTTAACATAAGATGTTGTAATCATAATTTCTAATTTTCACAATTACTCATTTTTCTGCAATTTATTTTATTTTTTGTTGGAAAATATACTTAACATTTAAAGATATTATCGTATGAGATAGAGAATTACGATAATTTCTCTCACTGAAGGAATTTTTTTTGTTATTTTTCTTTTTTGATTGTTTTTTTTTTTTTTTGGATTGTTATTTTTGGCTTTTAATTTTATTATTTTTGGTTGTTTTCGAAATAATATACAAAAAAGAGAACTATCATTTAAATTAAAAATCAAAAATAAATTTAATTTCATAAAAGTTTGAAATGCAAATGTAAATATTAATAGTTAATTGTTGCCAAGAAAGTAACTTATAATATTTGGATTTGGATGTAAATTTCAATTCGAACACAAATGTTTCGTGTGAGAAAGCAATTCTAGTAAATGGCTGACTATTTGTTGTGGTTATAATAAGTTATATTGGGAAGGAATTTTTGTCCCCGAGAGAATTGACAACGATTTATGAATTTGTAACTTAGGAAAAGCAGAAAGCATAGTGTCAATATCAAATTGCTAACTTCTAGTTAGATCAGCATACACACATACATGACATACATTAGAATAAACATCACAGATACATTTTTTTTCTTCTGCTTTGATAGACATTTTGCTTGAAAAATTATACTTCATTTTTAAGTCCATCTTTTAAAAAATTCAATGTGTGCCATTTTCTTATCTTGTTAATTTGTCTGTCAACAACAATGCCTTTTCTCACTAAGCCTAGACTAATTTAAGTTTTTTTTTTTTTTTCTTATCTGAGACTAACTTAAGTTTTTTTTTTTTTTACCTGAGCTTTTTTCCTGCAAATTTCTCCCATTTTGAAAAACTGAATTCATATAGTGACATAATTAATATAATTATAATTAGGAAATTAATTATGACATGCAATTCCTATATGTAACAAAGGGAAAAGAAAAAAGAAAATTTACATCACGCATACGTACGATCATGTGATTCGTCTTTCTTTTAAGAAGTCACAATGATGGCGTTTGTTGATTTTTTTTTCAGCTTTCTCATAACATCAGCTTTCCTATGGGAAATCTTTGTACATCGTTGATTGATAAAGAGCGAACGCGTTTTGAAGATTTCGTTCTTTAATCTGTGTATGTGTGGTGTGTTGAGAGATGCGCAATCACGTTTTAAACTG